AAGAAAATACATATGATTAATACACATGCAATGAAATATTCAGTTTCAACAGATGTCTGGAAAATACAAATTACAACATGATACTATTTTAGACTTATTTAATTGGCCACAATGGTATGACAATGTTTAACAACACCAAGTGTTGGCAAGAAGGTAGATGAAGGGGATTGAGAGGTAAAGACAAACTTTTCAAGACCAATCCACTGTGGACTGATCTCTGAAAAAAGAATGTGGCCTCCTACAAAGCTCCATGGAAAACAGGTTTGGTAAAAGACTTAAGACATAGTCTGTGACTATGCGAGATAACTGTGACCTACTCTGTAATAGGGTGAACAGAGGAGATTTTCAAGCAATATTCTACTTCTTATATTGGATGGAGGGTCTTCAAGTGTTTCCGCATTGTTGAAAATAAATAACTGTAAACATATAGACAACAAAAAAAGACTATTCATGAGCCAATGATAAGAGTATGTAATGACTAGAGTCGATGATTAATCCAATCCTCTACTCCTGAGTCAAAACCAAAAGCAAAATGTCAAAAAATAATTGGGATTTAAGATAAGGTATAGGAAGCACCTAAATTAACGTAAATCCCAATAGTAATTTGTGATGTAGTGTACTGTTTATATACATTTTTAAATTTTCTGTATATTATAATGTTTTGACATCTTAAAAAAATTTTTTTACTGGGGAGAGTTTGCCTCTCCTGGGCTAACCAATTCTTAGATAGCAAAGGGCTCAGCCAGGAGCATGCCTTTTATGTGCAAGCTAATCAATCCAGAGCCTCTAGCCAGCCCATCCTCTATCTGGCCCACACACCCCAGGAGGCAATATTTCCCGCTTTCTTTATCCCAGAGCCAGGGACCAGGCAACTAGGGACCACCCCTATAGTTTAAAGTCTGCTGAACTTATTCAAATTAGCCCATCCTAAACTATATACACTGCCCTGCCTAGCGTTTCCCATGGAAACCCCAATCAAGGCCATTGTCTTCGCCTCTACACTGCCCCTGCCCTTCCTGCCTCCTGGCCCACGTTGCTCTCTGTGGCATTCCATACCTCCTGTTTTAAGGACCTGTGAGTATTACAAATTTTGTTTTCCTGTGGATTCCTTCAGGACACACTAGACTGGCCATCATATAAAAGAACACAGAACATGTAGCTATTATCGTATCTATATTTCACGTAAATCAGCAGGCTTAGAGAAGCTAAGAGAATCACTCAGCACTAAGTATCTAAGAAGAATTAAACATCTTATTTGGACCTAAATCTGTCTGATTATGTACTACCATTAAGCTGAGTTACAGTAACAAATAAGCCCCAAACATTCTGTGGCTTAACAAAATAGATATTTATTTCTTATTCATCTGAAGGTCCAAAGAGCATTATTTGAGTCAGCGGAGTGGCTCTCTTTTATGTGATCATATAAGGACCCAAACTCCTATTTTATGGCTCTGCAGCTGTTCAGATTCTCATCATTGTTTGTAGGAAACAGTATGAAAGAGTACAGTGTGGTGACTTCTACAGGCTAGGTTTGGAATGATACTCATTATTGCTATTCTCATTTTTTTTTTTTTTTTTTGAGATAGGTTCTCGCTCTGTCACCCAGACTAGAGTGCAGGGACACAATCACAGCTCACTGAAGCCTTGACCTCTTGGGTCCCCCTACCTTAGCCCCCCCCCAATTAGCTGGGACCACAGGCATGTGCCACTATGCTCAGCTAATTTTTTCATTTTCATGTAGAGATTGTGGGTCTCACTATATTGCCCAGGCTGGTCCCAAACTCCTGGGCTCAAGTGATCCTCCTGCCTCAGCCTCCCCAAGTGCTGGAATTACAGGCAAGAGCCGCTGCACCTGGCTGCTCTCATGTTATTAAAGTGAACTTAGTCACATACACCAGTGCACTTACCTGGGAGGGTGGCTCACAGAAATGTGGGAAGAGTGAATTTGAATGGACAGCTGATACTTCCACCAGAGGCTCCAAATATTAAGTTCTTTCCAATGTCACAGTATCCTTCTTATGAAGATAAATGGCAAAGGTAAAAAATGACATGGAAATATCACATGATATTGGCAAGCCATGGGTAACAAGTTCTGTGTTGCTGGGGTACATGTGCTCTCTGGACTAATGTGCTGATTTTGCTAGCATATAAAAAAACATACCTCAAGCAAAGTTGTGTGAGGTACTTCCTCATTATGCTGAAATCCATGGATGCCCACTAAACAACTGCCTTATAAAAAGAACTGGTCATCCTACAATTAGTAACTATGAAGGAGGGAAGGGAATGTATTGATTTAGTGAGTATATGTATGCTTTGGAATGAATACAGTGAAATAATAAAATATAAAAAAATCATAACATAGAAAATCAGTGTATTTTGGTTGCTGTTCAATATCACCTTTCCTGGGTCACATTTGATTTTGGCCAGATAGTCACTGTAGTCCAAAATATTGAGGAATAATCAATATGATAGCCACATTCTTCAAAACTAGGATGTATAAAAACACAGGGTTATTCAAACAAAATCAAAAGTTTCTGCATACAGTATGATTAAGTTTTTAAGGGACTGGCAAATATTCCTTACCCAAGCATGTGTCATGTTGACCTAATCAGTTATCTCTTTCAATTTTTAAAAATAATAATAGTAACCCTTTGTAAGTACTTACTGTGTGCTAAGACCTTTATACACATTATATCATTTAACCACAATGATGTTATGAGGAAGTTATGATTCTCAGCTTTAGGATAAAGATATTGAACTTAGAGAGCTTAAACTGCCTAAGGTCACTGAGCTAGAAAGTAGCAGAATCAGGATTACAGTCCAGATATCTCCAACTCCAGCACCCTCATTCTTCCCCATCATGATAAGCAGCAAGAACTCTAGCTCAGAGTCAATAATGTTAATTACAATGTGTCAAAAAGGAATGATGTTTCTTTTTTTTGGTTAGAGCATTTCTGCTAGGAAGACTACAGCTGGTACTATAAATGGATGAATATAAGTGACGTTCTAGCATCTCAGGATGGTTCCAATTTCCCACTCAGTTCTGACCCACCAGGGCACACAGTGCCAGATAGCTAGACTAATATTAGAAGAGATTAAGATGTTTTCTTAATTTAGTCTTTGTAGAAACATTGCTTATCCCTACACTCCCATCTGTTTTGGAATTTTAAGAGTGTGCATTTTTAAACCAGGATGGGACTTTTCCAGAGCACTCAAATTACATCATGCAGAGATAAGAATTTCTCTAGTGGCATGGCTTCTTTTGACTGGAAAACCCAGACTTCTCTACACTAAGTAATATGAAACTGAACTAAGACTTTTCCCATCTCCTTAGAATTGACTGTTGCGACCCAATGCTGAAGACAAAGAGGTATTAAATACCTCCACATTTTAAAAACAGCAGAAAATAAAGATGGGCCAGAGTCTCCCCAAAGCTTATTTCAAAGCAGTGGAACTGGCTCTTCCAACTCTGATCATGTCTCAGCTACTTAAATCATCTTCCTCTCTCTCCCTCTACAACCTCCAGTCTAAATAAAGAGAAAGTTAGAGAGACAAAGGTGTGTGGAAGGAGGGAATCATTGGTCTAGAGTTAAGTGCTGTACCTCCTTCTCGACCCTTGCTTCCTGTGGAAGAGAGAAAGATGTCACCTATTTTCATCCCAAACCAAGTGAGAATGGCACTCAGAGAACCACTTGAAGAGGCTGAGGGTGCCTGCACCCGTGTGGAATTGTCATCTTACTCACTGGATAGACCTGTGTTTAGGTAGCATGAATGCAAATCTGACTTTTATGTCTTTTAGAAGGGGGCAAAGGATTTGAAAGAGATGGCAATGTGGAAGTGGGAGCACCATAGGTGAAGCTTAGCAAAGGTGTGCAAAATGTTCGAAGTTAAGTGGCCATTGCAATAGATACTTAAACAGGCAACATCTTTCTGATAACACATCCAAAAGGGCAGGGCACCCAGTGTGATATCAAGAGCATAAAGAGTCCATGGGGTGGACTTCCAGGAGCACAAGATGAAGGGGTTCAAGAAAGTTGAGCCAAGAAGAATCTCATAGTAGAAAACTGGGCAGTAAGAAAACCTTGAAGGACCCCCTTTCCTCTCACAATGGAGCCAGTATGTAGATGTTTGCCATACAAGGGCATCAGCAGTCAGTCTTAGACATAGACTCAGAGACTGCCAAAGACATGTACAACTGCCATGATCTGCTGAATTAGAGGTGCTTGTCCTATTCTATCTTTTTCAATTCTAGAAAGACCAAGTAAATGAAAAGAAAGAACAGATCTTTGCAGGGGCCCCAGCACTGGGGCCACCCGAAGTTAGATGCAGAAGGCTGAGACATGAGCAGTAAGTTGAATATGACATCAAAGCTTTCCATTCAACTACACTGGATTGGACTTCTTTGTACCTGAAATTTACTGGAAACCTGTGAGATTGAAGGTGTTTTAGATTACTAGATGTTGGTATTTAGATGTCATTAGATTATTTGCAAATAGTCGTTCCTTTCCCCTTGACCTCCTCCAAAAAGGAATTTACTTCCCTGCCCATTTATGTTGGGCTTGGTCATATGTCTTGTTTTGACCTATAGGATATTGACAGATCCCATATAAACAAGGACTTAAAAAGCACTGTGTGGATTGGCTGGCCCTCTAGCACTCCTGCCTTTTGCCATGAGAAGAACATGCTTCAGGTCATAACTGGTTCAAGGATAATGGGAGGCATGTGGTGCACACATAAATCCAACTCACACACTGCAGCCAAGCCCACTTAAGAAGAGCTGGAGCCCAGGCAACCCGTGTACTTATGAGAAATATATAAATAGATATGTTAGCTTAGCAGTTTCACCATGTTGATAGGCATGAGGTTGTTTACCTTTTCAAGTTTTTTAATTCACAGAGTGCTGTAATAAACATCATTTTGCATATATGATTATACATATCAAAAATTATTTCTATAAACCAGAAAACTAGAAGAGCGACTTCTGGGCCAAAATCCTCACAGATGGTTAATTTTATGTGTCAACTTACCTAAGCTAAGGGATGTTCAGATGGCTGGTAAAATATTTCTAGGTGTGTCTCCAAGGGTGTCTCTAGAAGAAATTAGCATTTTTGAACCATTAGATGGAATAAAGAAGATCCACCTTCAGGATTGAGGGTGGACATCATCTAGTTTGTTGTGTCAAATAGAACAAAAAAGGCATAAGAAAGGCAGATTCTCTCTTTCTCTCCCCCTCTGTCCCTCTCTCCCTACTTGAGTTGGGGCATCCTTCTTCTGCTGTTCTTGGACATCAGAGTTCCTGGTTCTTGGGCCTTCAGACTCAGACTTACACCAACACCACCCCTCACTCCCTGCCACCCCAGTTCTCAGATCTGCAGCCTCAGACTGGGAGGATATCATTGACTTCACTGGTTCTTAGACCTTCAAAGTTGGACTGAATTACACCACTAGTTTTCCTGCTTCTCCAGATGGCAGATTGCATATTATAGACGTCTCAACTTCCATGATTGTGTGAGCCAATTTCCATAATAAATCTCTCTCTCTCTCTCCATATATATCTGTATATCTTATTGGCTCTGTTTCTTTGAAGAACCCTGACTAATAAACTGTCTAAGTTCCTTGGAAAAAATATTATAACTTTTTATGTCAACACTATTTACATCCCCATCTACTGGATATAAGAGCACCTGTTTCGCCATGCTGTTCTAAGTCAGGCCTTAACAGTGTTTTAAAATTTTACCAAACTGACAAGTGAAAAATAGAATCTCATTGTTTTAATATCAGCAGTTTAAAATGATGAGGTATTCCTATGTTTCCACAATAAAAGCAAAATAACAAGCATAAAACTGTATGTATCATGATCTCATTTCTTATTACACACACAAATTTATATGTGCCTTATGTACAAATGTGTGTATGTATGTGTATGTAGGCATACTTTTATGTAAGTCTATATACACATTAAAAATCTGAAAAGATAGTCACCCAATTGTTACTATAATTATCTCTGATAAGTTAGTTTGGGGACAAAGGATTAAGGACAAAACTTTAACTGTGTACTTTATATAATTCTGTATTGTTTAAAATTTTATAATCATGTAATACTTTGTAACAAAAGGAAGTGACATAAATAGAAATACTTCTTTAAGTATAAAACAAAGATCTTCATTATCTGGAATTATGTAGCCATCATCTCCATTTAATAATTTCTCTTATTTCCAACCTTATTGAGATAAATAAATAAATTGCTATATTCACATGAGGTATCACAATTCACGTGTACCTGGCATATTTATCAGTAGTGTTATTTAACTTAGTAATATCAAATGTGGCAAGTTATAAATTGAAAAAATTATCAATATTATTTACTGATAAGGCAGCTAATAAGAATTATCTTACGAATTAAAGAGAAATGAAATAAAAAGAAAACGTCATGCTGCATGTATCTGTGACTGAGCTCATGAAAGTAACCAAGCAATGTTAATGTACTATAAAACAAATGAGTTCCAGATTTCCATTTGTATTTCAGAAGGCGTTAAGTCTCAGAGATCTGTGTGCATCGTTTTTTAAAGCCATTAATGGGCCAGCCTTTTAAGTAATTTATTAGGAGAGCAAAACAACTTTTCCACTGAGATGTTTTCATATATTCAGCTTATCTATCTAAAAGCATCTCAAAATTTAAAAATCACTTCCACATTTGCAAATCAAGTACACATGTCTGGATGAAGCATTTTTTAGTGGCTTTTGATATTCAACATGACATATTTTCAAGTAGGAAAAGATAAATAGTATTTTAAGGAATTGAGATTTGGCTAGCCAAATAATGAACCCACAAATTATTGTTTTAAAAATGCTTTATATAGAGTGTGCTAACTTTCTTCTCCCACTGTTCAAATCACACAGTGAGTGGAGTCAGGAGTTGCCGTCTCTGTGCCAACAATGCAATCAGAGCCTGGGCAGCCAATTGAAAAATGATCATGAGAGAAAAAAAAAAAAAAGAACGTTATAGAAGCCTTTACAACTAAGAACAAGCTGGAAACCATCATTCTGAGCAAACTATCGCAAGGACAAGAAACCAAACACCGCATGTTCTCTCATAGGTGGGAATTGAACGATGAGAACACTTGGACACAGGGTGGGGAACATCACACGCTGGGGCCTGTCATGCAGTGGCGGAAGCAGAGAGGGGTAACATTAGGAGATATACCTAATGTAAATGATGAGTTAATGGGTGCAGCACACGAAAATGGCACATGTATACATATGTAACAAACCTGCACGTTATGCACATGTACCCTAGAACTTAAAGTATAATAAAAAGTATTGGGGGGCGGAGCAAGATGGCTGAATAGGAGCAGCTCCAGTCTCCAACTCCCAGCGCGAGCGACACAGAAGACCGGTGATTTCTGCATTTTCAACTGAGGTACTGGGTTCATCTCACTGGGGAGTGCCGGACGATCAGTGCTGGTCAGCTGCTGCAGCCCGACCAGCGAGAGCTGAAGCAGGGCGAGGCATTGCCTCACCTGGGAAGCGCAAGGGGGAAGGGAATCCCTTTTCCTAGCCAGGGGAACTGAGACACACAACACCTGGAAAATCGGGTAACTCCCACCCCATACTGCGCTTTAAGCAAACAGGCACACCAGGAGATCATATCCCACACCTGGCCGGGAGGGTCCCACACCCACTGAGCCTCCCTCATTGCTAGCACAGCCGTCTGTGATCTACCTACCGGCAAGGCAGCAGCAAGGCTGGGGGAGGGGCGCCCGCCATTGCTGAGGCTTAAGTAGGTAAACAAAGCTGCTGGGAAGCTCCAACTGGGTGGAGCTCACAGCAGCTCAAGGAAACCTGCCTGTCTCTGTAGACTCCACCTCTAGGGACAGGGCAATAAAAAACGCAGCCGAAACCTCTGCAGACGCAAACGACTCTGTCTGACAGCTTTGAAGAGAGCAGTGGATCTTCCAACACGGAGGTTGAGATCTGAGAAGGGACAGACTCCCTGCTCAAGTGGGTCCCTGACCCCTGAGTAGCCTAACTGGGAGACATCCCCCACTAGGGGCAGTCTGACACCCCACACCTCACAGGGTGGAGTACACCCCTGAGAGGAAGCTTCCAAAGCAAGAATCAGACAGGTACACTCGCTGTTCAGAAATATTCTACCTTCTGCAGCCTCTGCTGCTGATACCCAGGCAAACAGGGTATGGAGTGGACCTCAAGCAATCTCCAACAGACCTACAGCTGAGGGTCCTGACTGTTAGAAGGAAAACTATCAAACAGGAAGGACACCTACACCAAAACCGCATCAGTACATCACCATCATCAAAGACCAGAGGCAGATAAAACCACAAAGATGGGGAAAAAGCAGGGCAGAAAAGCTGGAAATTCAAAAAATAAGAGCATATCTCCCCCGGCAAAGGAGCGCAGCTCATCGCCAGCAACGGATCAAAGCTGGACGGAGAATGACTTTGACGAGATGAGAGAAGAAGGCTTCAGTCCATCAAATTTCTCAGAGCTAAAGGAGGAATTACGTACCCAGCGCAAAGAAACTAAAAATCTTGAAAAAAAAGTGGAAGAATTGATGGCTAGAGTAATTAATGCAGAGAAGGTCCTAAACGAAATGAAAGAGATGAAAACCATGACACGAGAAATACCTGACAAATGCACAAGCTTCAGTAACCGACTCGATCAACTGGAAGAAAGAGTATCTGCGATTGAGGATCAAATGAATGAAATGAAGCGAGAAGAGAAACCAAAAGAAAAAAGAAGAAAAAGAAATGAACAAAGCCTGCAAGAAGTATGGGATTATGTAAAAAGACCAAATCTACGTCTGATTGGGGTGCCTGAAAGTGAGGGGGAAGATGGAACAAGTTGGAAAACACTCTTCAGGATATCATCCAGGAGAACTTCCCCAACCTAGTAGGGCAGGCCAACATTCAAATCCAGGAAATACAGAGAACGCCACAAAGATACTCGTCGAGAAGAGCAACTCCAAGACACATAATTGCCAGATTCACCAAAGTTGAAATGAAGGAAAAAATCTTAAGGGCAGCCAGAGAGAAAGGTCGGGTTACCCACAAAGGGAAGCCCATCAGACTAACAGCAGATCTCTCGGCAGAAACTCTCCAAGCCAGAAGAGAGTGGGGGCCAATATTCAACATTCTTAAAGAAAAGAATTTTCAACCCAGAATTTCATATCCAGCCAAACTAAGTTTCATAAGTGAAGGAGAAATAAAATCCTTTACAGATAAGCAAATGCTTAGAGATTTTGTCACCACTAGGCCTGCCTTCCAAGAGACGCTGAAGGAAGCACTAAACATGGAAAGGAACAACCGGTACCAGCCATTGCAAAAACATGCCAAAATGTAAAGACCATCGAGGCTAGGAAGAAACCGCATCAACTAACGAGCAAAATAACCAGTTAATATCATAATGGCAGGATCAAGTTCACACATAACAATCTTAACCTTAAATGTAAATGGACTAAATGCTCCAATTAAAAGACACAGACTGGCAAACTGGATAAAGAGTCAAGACCCATCAGTCTGCTGTATTCAGGAGACCCATCTCACACGCAGAGACATACATAGGCTCAAAATAAAGGGATGGAGGAAGATTTACCAAGCAAATGGAGAACAAAAAAAAGCGGGGGTTGCAATACTAGTCTCTGATAAAACAGACTTTAAACCATCAAAGATCAAAAGAGACAAAGAAGGCCATTACATAATGGTAAAGGGATCAATTCAACAGGAAGAGCTAACTATCCTAAATATATATGCACCCAATACAGGAGCACCCAGATTCAAAAAGCAAGTCCTTAGAGACTTACAAAGAGACTTAGACTCCCATACAATAATAATGGGAGACTTCAACACTCCACTGTCAACATTAGACAGATCAACGAGACAGAAAGTTAACAAGGATATGCAGGAATTGAACTCATCTCTGCAGCAAGCAGACCTAATAGACATCTATAGAACTCTCCACCCCAAATCAACAGAATATACATTCTTCTCAGCACCACATCGTACTTACTCCAAAATCGACCACGTAATTGGAAGTAAAGCACTCCTCAGCAAATGTACAAGAACAGAAATT